TGATGTTTATGTTTCTCATGAGGTAAATTTCTCTTTCTCCGTAAATCTCATCTCACTTACGTGCATTCAGATATCAATCATTTTAAGCGTTTTTTTTTCATATAATTATTCAGATACATCGGGACTCGACTGGATAAGATAAACGACCATATTTCACAACTGTCGGAGAATGACGAGTGTGGACTGAGATGCACGTGGAGACAGTCCATCATCGTCACTCGTCGCCACCGTAGAAGAATGGGATACAACAGACGCATGTTATGGACTGCAATGTAAATCGATATTCGCTGAGGTGACATAGAAAAATCGAAGAAGATATCTCGTGGGAAGAAAGAAGAATATGTCGTTGAACGAATGCGCCAATATTATCTGGCCAAACTTGTGCCATCCCACGAATCTACTTTCGAATATTAAGACACGTCGTATACAGCGTGACTCAAAGAGAACAAAATCGACGATTTCATTTTCGACTTGCTTCATAGGCTACGTTATTACGTTTGTCAGTCGACTACGTGTACTACGTTATCACTCGACTGCTAATGCAAATGTCTTTTCAGGCATCTTCACTCGGAACTTTGCTGGATAGCTCGCAGTATGAACAGGTTGTTTGGAATTCAAATCACCTTGCAGATGGTGACCTACTTCGTCCTTTTAACCGGACTGATCTATTTGCAATACAACACATTGATATGCCTAGTACACACTTTAGCGAACCGTGCGATCCGCTTGAAACTTACCATTGACAGCGATATATGGTTGGCTCTCTTGGTGGGCAAGCTCGTGTCAATGAACCATGTCTGCGAGAGCGTTAGCATCAAGGTTGTTACTTTTGTCACGATATGATTTATGATCTTCCCAGTGGATGACGCTTGAAGTAACTTTAGCAATAGTGAATCACAGTATCAAGTTCTCTTAATTGTGTAATAAAACATTCGGAAATCTTCAGGCGCGGAAGACCAAGGAAGTTGTACATAAATTAACAAATCTTGCTTCCTTCGCGGAGACGCGCGACGAGGTGAGACAAAAAGGCACGAAATTCTGTTTTTTTTTTCAAACTACTCTCATCAGTATTATATTATCTTAATTAATCTGTAATTAAGTTTTAA